ACAGGACATTTTGGTGGATTCTAATGAAAACAATGTGAAAATAGGAATAGAATCATCCTCCCTTAACAAGATAAAGACGTGGTCTGAACTATAGCCTCAGTCGACTTCAAATCACAGCAGCAGTACCCCAGTCCCCACAACACAGTTGCCCAGTTTCAGCAAGACTGAACATGCACTGCTGTCCTATTTCAGGCATAGTAGCCTATCGAGAAGTTTAGGGGCTGGGGATTTAGCTCAGCAGCACAGCGGCTGCCTGGCAAGCGCAAGGTCATGAGTTCGATTCCCGGTACCGGAAGATAAAAACAAACATATCAAGAAGTTTGTAAGTCCGGGATGGTGATAGCCGATAAACTGGGCTTGGCCTCATCTTTCTGTTTCTGAGTGTCAGAAGAGTCCTTAGCTCATAGAGAGCACCCGGGAATAGTGGCTGCAGCTACTGCTTTGCCGATCAAGTTGCACTGAAGTTTCGGGGCCCAGTGTTTCCCATTCCAGTGGGTACCCCAGGGGGAAGACGGTGGGTCAGGCTGCAGACCCCTGCTCGGTATGTGCCGGAGCCCCACTGTGACCGAGTCCGGAGCTGGGCCTTGAGCAGGTGGAGCCTAGACAGGGTCTGGAGAAGCTAGTAGTTGTAAGTTGCCCACACGCCATTATGGTGCAAAGAATCTGAATTCGGCCACATGTCATTTAACCCCTAAGGACATGCTCCATCCACGAGCAGCCCCCGTATGATCCGTGGGGCAGGCCTCCCACGAGAATCACCACAAGAAGAGCTTTATTTCTACTGGGTGTTGAACTAGGCCTGACCTGGGAATTCAGCACTGCCTAACTATCTCCAAATTCCTGGTGCCGACCTGGGAAATTACAGTAGGGTGTTGATGGCCCCTGTCACCCTACACATTGTCCCGGGAATCTCAGCTGTCCCTTTAGCATGGCCCTTCTCTGGCTGGCAGAGTGGCACATGCCTGTCATCTTAGCTCCCAGAGAGGCTGAACCAAGGAGGGTCACAGATTCAGTGGCAAACAGGCAACTTAGCGAGACCTTATCTCAAAATAAAACATAAAAGGAGCTGAGTGTGTAGCTCAGTGGTGGAACATGCAGGACACTGTGTTTTAAATCTCTAGTACTGTTCCCCTCCTCCAAGAAAAGCACGCCTCTCTCCTCAGAGTTGAGTTTAGAAGCATCATGTGACTGAGCTGCAGAGGCTTCCCCTTCCCTTGCCATTTGGAAGTCTTAAAAAAGCAAAAAGTAGAAAGGAAGCTCCAGCCCCCCGATTCCTACCCCAGGGTGAGTTCTGAGCAAGAGATGCACTATTCCCAGAGCCGCCTCTCACTGTCCACAGGGGATCAGACTGGAGTGGTCAGTAGGACCACAGCCCCTCAAGCTTCCATCTCAGTTATTTTATTTTTTTTTTTTTCCCCATCTCAGAATAGTGCGTGTGGTCTGGGCTGCAGCAGCACTCAGAGTGTGGGACTGGATTTAGGGAGGCTGGGGAGAGGGCACCCTTCATCCCTGGTGGGAGTGTAAATCAGCACAACCACTGTGGAAAGCAGGATGGAGATTCCTCAAAAAACTAAGACTAGAAATTGCACTTGACCCAGCTATGCCTATTCTGGACATCTTCCCCCAAGGGTTAAAGATATCATATTAGAGTGATCCGTGCACACCTCCCGTTTATAGCAGCTCAGCTCATAATAGCTACATCTTGGAAGCAGCTTACATGTCCATCAACAGATGAATAGGTAAAATGTGTGTTTATACTCAATGGAGTACTACTCTGCTATAAAGAAGGATACATTTGAGTCATTTGTAGGAAAATGGATGTACCTGAGACCATAACTAACTGCAATAATTCAGATGCACCAGCTTAAATATTGAATGGTTTCTCTTGTAGGAGAGACCCAAATAATAAATAAAAAGCAAATGAAAGATAACAGGAAGCAGGGAGATAGATTTTTTTCTTTTTTACTAGTACATGCGTGCAGCACGTGTTTACATTCCTGTGTGGAGCTGGTCCGTGTTTATAAAGCATCTCCATTGCCTTTTCATCTCCTTTAACACAGGGATTCCACCTAACCCCAGACAGAACGGGTCATCGTCAAGAAATCGTAATCAGTCCGCGGTAGCGCACTTGCCTATTGTGTACAAAGTTGTGGGTTTGATCCCCAGCATGACAAATAAATAAATACATAAATAAGTTTCTCAAATAAGAGAAATCAAAGCATAACAAATGCAGGCAAGGCTGGGGGTGGGGCCTTCTGCATTGCTGGTGGGGATGCACAGTGGTAGGACCGCTATGGAAAACAGCGTGGAGATAGATCTCTTGCAGGTAGGAAGGGGACCACGAGATGGGAGGAGGGGAGCAGTCCAAAGAACTAAGGTGTGTCATGTCCGTGTGCCGACTCCCCATGACGGATGCCATCGTGATACATGGCAAACATACTAGTACAATATTTTTTAAAGAATGCCATGGAAAAAGTTCCAAAAACTGAATCAAGATGTAAACACCTCCATTCTTTGTGTGTGTGTATGTGTGTGTGTCTTTTTGAGGCAGGGTCTCTCTATGCCGTTCAGGCTGGCCTGGAGCTCACTTTATAGCCCAGGCTGGTCTTGAACTCACAATGATCCTCCTGCCTCAGCCTCCCAAGTGCTGAGATTACAGGTGTGCACCACCATGCCTGGCCAAAACCTCTGTTCTTGAGAGAGAGACAGACAGACAGACAGACAGACACTATGCCTTAGGGTCGAGGAGGTCAGTGTGGCCTCCTCCTGCTGCCAGAAACCCAAGACACGTTAGGTAGGTAAAATGCCAAGTGCGTGGTAAGCAGTAAAAACCAGTAGCGATTCCTGTGCATATGTATGTTTGTGTGTCCAGGTGGACAAACCTCAGGGGATCCATGCTTTGGACACCAGCTCCTTGGCCTCTAGAGCAGAGAGGTTCTCACAGGGAGCAACCTCCCCCTGCCCCAGGAGACCTTCAGCAAAGTCTGGAGACGTTTAAGACCCCGAAGCGGCATCGTCCCAAACTAGTCTTCTGATCTCTCACACACGCGTGCACACACACGCTAGTGGCAGAACGACATTTCTGGTACAGCAATATGTGGTTAGGACGCTAGCAGGGAACAAGACCCTGATAGAGCTGATGGGTTTTATCCTCCCATCAGAAGACTCTCATGTTGGGGCGTGGATCTGAAACATTTTTCTTTAGTACTTGATATTTGTTATTGTGGTTCCATTTTTTAAACAAACAAGCTGAAGTTGCTGCTTCCCGAGGGTGCTTGGGACTCCCGCAGAAGCTCCGGCTGCCTCAAGCATCTGAACAGGAGAGCCTGCTTCTGGATGAGCAGATAGAAAGGGAGAGAAAACCCACGAGAGCCAGGGACAAGTTGGGGGCCGAGATGGTCCGGAACGGGGCTCTGCACAGGCCGCGTGATCCCCACACGGGCAGGGCCTGCTCGTCAAGTGGGGAGACCCGGGCACTGGCTTGAGCTCTCATACAGAAAGTTACGAACCTGTTTTACGTGCATTGGCTCATCTGAAAACTGGGACTGCGTCCCCCAACTTAGGCTAGCGGGGCCATTTCGTGAAGACTAAACTGGGTTCTGTGTGTAAAAGTGCTCTGACAGTCACTCAGGTGACACCAATACTGTTCCCTGAGTGTTAACTAAAGCTCCAGCGCTTTTGAGCTTGCCAACAACCTTGGAATCCCAGTGTATTCATGTGGAAAGTGTAGGGCTCTGGGAAGGGAGGAAGAAGTGTGGGTCAGCAGGAGGCAGGGACAGGGCAGCACCGCCCCGGAGAGGGGCAAAAAATCTCCGAGCTGCCACCTCCCCTCGGCCCTGGCCCATCACGCCTGCTCTCGGCGTCATGCTCTGAGTCTTGGTGTATGTGTCTTTCGGTCACCTCTGGGAACCTGGGGCCCTGTCCACCCATTTCCCTGTTACATGTATGTAACATGAAAGGCCAAATCATGAGCGTTTTTTCTTGCAATCGAATGAGCAGAGCAAGTGGGGGCTCAAAAACCCCTTTCTGTCTTCTGTGAAGCTCTTCCTGGAGCCTCCGCTCCGGGAGAGCTCTAGCTCTCAAAGTGGGCTCCACGCCCCACAGAGAGGCCATCCCTAGAGTCTGTGCCCACCAGCACCCTGTCGTGTTTGCGCTGCAACAACACTTGTGCTTTTGCGCCTGGAAAAGACTTACGGTTTGCTATGAACACAGTAGCTGCTGTTTATTAAATGGCTCTCACCAGCAAAGGCACTGTGGTCTGTACCTGACACTCTCCCCATTGCCTGTGACAGCCTGGGAAGTTGTCATAGTGGCTTTGCCTTACAATGACAAAACTGAGACTCGGTTGTCGGTCACTCACCTGGGGTCACACAGCTGTTATTGGGCTCCTCTTCGCAAGGCAAAGTGAGAAGAGGTTTCGCGCAGAGAGAGTAGCTGTTGGGGGTTTTTCACAGCAACACATGAGAGCGGCTGAGTCTGAGTCATCCTCTGGAGACTGAGAACCGCTGAGGTGAAGATGCAGGCTAGGGCACGGACGGATAATTACCCACGACTCCGACAGTCTCAGGCCGGGTAGGTTTTGTCTGTTCGCTCACCTCTGCTTGCAGAGTGTGTTTCTCAGGGAAGCGGGAACCGACCAGGCAGGATTGTTACTGGGAGCCTCTGGCCCCTGAGGCTCTGGCGTGGACCATGACTGCAGCAGAGCGAACTCCTCAGGAGGGTCTTGGGTGACTTTGGGGATGTGTTCGTTTTCAACCCCACTCAAAATTTTCTGAGCTTGTCCTTTGTGTCCCCTCAAGGTGACAGGCCGTGGTGGTCTCTGTAGGGTGACTGGAGCTGTTCCCTCCTAGAGCCTCGGGAACTGGTACCTGTCAGGGCGTGGGAATAGAATGGCAGGCTCCCGCCTCCCCGGTGACCCAGCCCCGCGCTTTCTCTGCTTGCTTGGGGCACCTGGAAGACCTCCTCCCACCAACTGCGTTGTGTTTTCTGTCCTTCCGTAGTACCTGCAGATGAAATGGCCTCTTCTGGATGTCCCTTCCAGTGCGACCGTCAAGGACACGAGGTCGCCGTCTCCAGCACACTTGGTAAGTCTGTTTCGCCTCACAGCACCCGTCGGGACGCTGTGTCCAGCCTTGTGCTTTGCCTGTCTCCTGTCACCTGCAGAAGCTGATGGTGTGTGTGTGTGTAACGGAGGGCTGAACACACGGCCCTCACACTGAGCTACATCCCACCCGTTCTTACTCTACATTTTGAGACAGGGTCTCTCTAAGTCACTGTGTTGCCCAGGCTGGCCTCAAACTTTCTATCCTCCTGCCTCAGCCTCCTAGAATACTGGGATTGCAGGTATGCAGCGCCCCCCCGCCGGCTGAGGCTGTATCTTGCACTGTCCCACTCAACACGCAGCGGCACACCGCCTCAGCTCGTAACTGGAAACGCCCGGGCCCTGGCTGTCAGCCCTGGGTCTCCACACACACCCGCCTGAGGTGCTCCCACGCAGGGGCAGGGTCCTTTCTGTCCTGGGAGCGCATCAGAACGGCCTCTTCCCTGCCCCTCGTAGCTGCGAGGCACCATCGGCGGGCCTCTCCAGGACCAGCTACTACGGGAAAGAATCCATTAAACCATCTGGGAACAAAACCCCGTGGCAACAGCGGCTGTAAAGCAAGATCTGGAGGGCCTGGGAGCCAGGCGTGCTGTGGGCCGAGCAGGTCCTGCCTAGGACTGAAATCCAAGCAGGCGGGGCAGGTGTTGCTGGACTGCGACCTTCATCTTCCACCTTCCTGGACTTCGGGGGCGTGGGTCCATGCCCTCGGACCCACTTGCCCCACAAGCTAGCGGTGTTTGTCCCCGGGCCAGTGAGTCAGTCACTGAGGGTGGTGCAGCTAGAGGACCTGCCTGTCCCTTGACCTGTCTGTTGTACAAGCGAAGGGAGCTAGGGCCATGCGCTAAGTGTAAGGCCCTGGGATTTGTGACTTCGCTAAGTGCGGAAAATAGAGCACATTTGCAGTGAGCCCCACGGGCTCTGCCCTCCCACCACACTGTGGTTGAGAGCGAATTCCAGATGTATTATTTCCTCTCCGAGTACATTTGAAGATACGCTGATAACCCCTGCTCCTGACGAGCTTCGAGTCTAGGGGAGGGAAGGGCAGATGCACACATAGAGTGGCGTGGTGCGCGTGTGATTTCCAGTAACCGTGGGGCCAGCTTGCGGCGGCAGCCCCTTGCTAGTGTACAAGGCTGTGTCATCTGCAGCTTTCAGATGAATTTTTTTCTGATGGTACCAGGAATTGAACTCAGGACCCTGTGCTTGCCAGGCAGGCGCTGCACCGCTGAGCTACCTCCCTGGTGCTCTCAGACAATTGTCACGGCCATCTTGCTGGGGAGGCAGTTGAGCACTCCAGCCCGCCTAGCTGCCCAGGGCAGGCTGCCCCAGACACACAGACCCTGACACGGGCTCTGTGGCCGGTCGCCGAGGCATGGGTAGCACACTGAGGGAGGCCCCAAGGCACAGGACAGGAGGGTGGCTTTCGCACCGGCAGTCCACATGGGATGGTACGGGTGCCGGGAGGGTCTGAGTCAGGCACGGTGGAAGATGTCCAGCCCTCTTCCATCACACCCCACGCCTGGTTTGTCCCCTCCGAGCCCAGGATTCTCTGTCTCTGATCTCTGTCCTGTGTCCTACCCCCATAGCAGGTCCCAGGGTGGCCTACCCGCTGTCCTCCCTTCTGTTTAGGGGACATAGTTTCCCCTTCAGAGTCGACCCGTGTACCTGAATGTCCCTTCCTTCCTATCACATAGAGGGTTCCATCTCCAAAAAGTCTTCCTCTGTGGACATTACTCTCCCTCTCCTCTCACACCTACTCTTCCTCACGTCTCCGTTGCTATACCGTGTTCTGTGCCAATCCAGGGCAGCCTGGCTCCGTCCGCTGCCGACATGTAGCACCCAAAGCCAGGCATTTTCTGGCTTTCTCAACCTGGTGGCATCTGACGCTGTTGACTGCCCTCCACTTCCTGCGATCCCCTTCCCGTTGCTCTAGAATCCTGCATTACTACTCTGCCTGAATCAGTCTCGGTTTTTTTCTCATTATTTTCTCTCTAGACCTTTTCCTTAAATACCGTTTATCAGCGTGATAGAAAAATACACGATATAGCAACCATTGCTAACTTCCTTTCACCTTGTTTTGAAATTCTGTATCTTTTTAATTGTTTTTGTGTTGTTTTGTTTTTGTCTTGCTTATGGTTATTTTGTTCTCTCTTCCCTTTAAAATTTAACAACAAAGAGAAATACACGAGATTCCAATTCCTCAAGAAGGTTCTACACCCCTACTTGCAACTTGCAGATAAACATCCAAGCATTACAGATTCATGCTCTGCAAATAAAAATGCACCCCATGCCGGAGCCTGGGCCTCTTATTTTGTCTGAGGGCAGATAAGCATGAACTGTTGATACACACTGTATCGCTGATAGCAAAACAGGCAATTTTCCAGTGATTTATACATTAGACTCTGTATTCTAACATAGCAAAGCGGAAACAGACCTCAAAAGCTTAGGGCTCCTCTAAGGGAGAAAACCCTTAACATGAACTCGGAATTCTACAGGCAGGGAGGAAACTACTGTTTTCAATTTTAGAGTTAGAGCCCCTGAGAGGTACCTACGAGAGATGCCCAGCAAGGAGGGTGTTTATGTCGGAGCCTGTGAAATGCAGATTTGAATCCCAGCACCGCCTGTTTCTCTTCCTGCAGCTTCAGGCAAATGACCACATCTCTGTGCCTCAATTTCCTCATCTATTAAATGGGGACTAAAAGCTGGGCGTGCTAGAGCACACCTGGAATCCCAGCACTCTGAGGCAGGAGGATCGCAAGTTAGAACCCAGCCTGGGCAATTTCGTGAGACCTTGTCTCAAAATTATTTATTTATGTATTTAATTTTTTTTTT